GCTGTTTGCAATGCAGATTAAAAGAGAATACAGCTAAAAAATAAATAAACAAATAAAATAAAAATCAAAATAGAAATTCTATATGATATATATTTAGAACTATTACATACATTAAAGGCATTTAAAAACGACTAAAGGCATTTAAAAATTGTAAATGAAAAAACAGAAAACATTATCCCATTAAAAAAAAGCACGCCTTCCCAAAAACAAATGGCCATAATCCTGTCTGCATATAAAGGTCTTTGCCTAGCAGTGGAAGGTAAAGTGGAAGGAAAGCTGAGAGCAGGACAACCTAGCCTCCTATGAGAGGTAGTTCCATACCAGGAAGCAGCCTTCAAGAAAGACTCTCTTGTCCCTTCACTATAGAGTATGTGCCTGTGTGAAAGAGTAGGAGCAAGAGAATGTATTTTTCTGAAGATCTCAAATGATGGGCAGACTCATATGGGAAGAGGCAATCTTTCAGAAAGTCTGCACCCAAACCACATAGTACTTTATTGGTCATGAAAACCAAAATGATCAGAATATTATAACCCTAGAAAAATCAAAAGAACAAGCAGAAGTGTGGAAAGAAAGAGCACCAAAGGTTAAATTTATGGATACCTTCTTTGGTAAATAATAGGTTTAGTTCATTTATTATCTCTGGGTCTGAACAGACTGCCAGAAATAATCCAGTTTGAGGCCACTTTAACTGTTTTTGCTCAGTGCAAGGGAATCATGGGAACTGTAGTTTATTGTGGCACCAGAGCTCTCTGACAGAGAAGGCTCAATGTCTCAGAAAAAAAAAAAAAAACAATTATAATTCCCATGATTCCCTAGCATTGAGCCAGGACAGTTAAAGTGGTCTGAAACTGGATTATTTCTGGCAGTCTGTTCAGTCTCTCTGTCACTGGGATGAGACACCCTCTTCATTTAGACTCATTTAACAACAAAATCAAACCTGTAGCATTGCTCCTGAAAGGTCTTACTACTCAGAGAAGTGAGATCAACACTTTCAAAGTTACTTCTAGAAGTAAATAATTATTTTCATATCCCCAAACTAAAATTAAGTTACTTTAAAAAAATATCTGAATGCTATAAGCTACTGGCCTATGGTGCTGATCATACTCTTGTCCCAGCCATTTCCTTGTTATCTCAACATTTACAAGAACATAAAAGCTTGAGGCTCAGCACATGTATTTGAACCATATTAGAGTTACATCACAAATAAATTAACCCTTGTTAACAATTGTAATACAATGTAGCTATACCTTCACTGCTGGGGAAAGAATTAATTACAATTTCAAAATAGCTTATTGGTAAATAATTACTTTCAGACTCTGAATAAGGAGTGCACACAAGATGTACTGCTCTGGAATCAGTCAACTTATCAAGGAGGTTTAAGTTTAGTATTGAAAGCAATTATTTTTTCAAAATTAAGAAACATTTCATTATGCACAAGGGGGGGGTTATCTCTTTTCATTAGCACAATTTACTATGTACCCATCATCATGCATATTATATTTTTTTGTACATGAACACTTGACATGTGAAGCTAAGTATTAAAACAGACAGAATGTACCTAATGACACTCTCCTATTCTATTTGTGAGGCAGCAATGGGAACACTGAATCAGGGTTCTCACTTAAAGTACTGTAGTCTGTCCAGTTCATGCACTGCATTAAAATATTATAGTGACTAAAATAACCATATCAACAAAGTATACTGACTAAAATTATCAGCATATTAAAAGGGGGGAAATAAGCACACACATTTTAATTCTGTATGCTTGTCATGTGCAGAAATAATCAAAATAACATACACACAGAGAAACGATTCCCATTTTATAGGTTTCACCTGCTGTGTTGACATATATCTGATTTCCATAATGGCTCTAATAAATTCCCATCATCTCCCATAAGAGAGTAGAAAAGCAGTGCACACTGTTAGTGAGCTATGCTCACAATGTGCATGATGGTTTTCCTACTTTTGAGCACACCATTTTTTGTCCAGGTATACTCAGTGATAATGCTGCAGTGCTAGCCAAGAGATGGCAAGTGAACTCCTGTAGGGTGTATCTTTATATGCTGTAAATATTTGCACTTTGAGCATTGTGCATCATTTCCTAAATTCCATGTTCAGCATCTCAAAAGCATCAGGCAATTCAAACAACAATTCAGTGGCACAAGAGCTTTCCCTCCATCAACACTTGGTACATTTGCAGCTCCAGATTATGCGGAAAGAACTAGCAACATGTCTTTTCAGAGTTTGAAAACGTTGGGACTACAGTTCCTAGGATTCCTAGCCAGCACAGTCAGTAGCCTTGCTGGCTGGGAGACTAGGGTGGTTTGTCATTCAGAAAGAAGTCACTTTTACAGGTTCTAGTCTTACTAATAATATTGTCCTTTTAAACAGCTTAAGACTTAGAACATGCTGACACACCTTTCCTCACATATCACCTGAGGGGTCCTACTGTGTGTTACCAGAGCAGTTTAGGAAAGATACAGATTAGGACTCCCACACAATTCTGGTACCATCAGAAAGAGCCCTGAGAACAGCCCTGAGCTTTAATTATATGTGCAAATAAATACAGGAAGGGCAAATGAATTGGGCTTCCTGTATTCATGCATATTATTAACTTCCTAAGTTAGGACTCTTCTTAAACACCTTCCCCAGGGGGAGGTACATCTGCTGTAACAACTTGAGGATCACAGACATTTTGTCGCTGGCACTTCCTGTATTTGCATTGATGTCTGAAATTGCTCTCGCAGATCCTGACCAGAGAGCACTGTGTCTACAGGACTTTTCATCCCTTTATTTAGCATGATACATCTATTTTCCCATTACAAGATTTGCCACTTCCTCTTCCTATCATTCAGTTGTTTACATTATCCTAAGAGGTAGACAGAGGGAGAATTCTGCAGGAATGGTAGCTTATAAGGTATAGCAAAAATCTTAAAATGACCAGCATCCAGATGAAGCCAAGCCAGACAAAGCCAGTGAAATGTCTTCAAATGGGTAGACCATGCCAGCCAACAGGTGCAACTGTCATGTCTGTTCCTGTATCAAATGTACTAGAAACATCTACATTAAGTCTCATGCCAGTTAAAAGGATACATTTCAGAAACATGCTTTCACTATTTGAGTCTTAAACTCACTTCTCAACCCTTCAGTACCCCCAAGTCAATGCAAAAGAGATAAAAACATATAAAAACATTCTTTAAAACACCCACACAATTCAAACAGTCCCTCAAATCTCCATTGGTTACAGAGACCAAAGTTCATACAAAGTAGTGCAACCTTGCCTGACTGCTGGAAGTTTAAAAAAGATGGAGATAGAGTCTAGTCTGTCTTGGGGTAGTGTTGCACCATCCAGGTATCACGACTAAAGCCCTGTCTCAGCACTTCAGGATGATGGAACACACAATAGAGCTGCTGTTGATGGTTTCCATTTCTAGGCAGGCTCATATGAAGAAGTGGGCATTCAGTTACCATGGGCCAAGCCAGGGGTCGGCAACCTTTGTTTCCATTTGTTTCCTAGGAACCATTTTGGAAGGCCCCTTGTGCCTGCGGCGGGTGAATTCACCCAGTGCAGGCATGGGGGGGCTTCCCTGGGGCTTGGAAAGGCCCCCCCGTGCCCACAGCAGGCGAATTCGCCCAGCACAGGCGTGGGGGGGGCTTCCCTGGGCCTTGGAAAGCCCCCCCCCATGGCTGCGCTGGGCGAATTCACCTGGCGCAGCTGTGGTGCAGCCTTTCCAACAGCCAACAGTGGCTGCGCAGCCACCGAGGGGCCTTCCAAAATGGCGCCTGCTGTTGTGCGCATTTTGGAAGCCAAAATGGCGCCCATGCTCGCACATGTGTGGCAGCGGTAGGACTGGCCACGGGCCGGTCCCAAGGCCTCCGCAGGCCACACCCGGCCCACGGGCCGTAGGTTGTTGACCCCTGGGCCAAGCCATCAGGGCTTTGTACATCAAATCCAACATTGTAAATTTATCTCAGAAATGATATGTTGCCTCAAAAGAACAACATGCCAAGGGCTGCCCCATTTTGGATTAGATGTAGCTTCTACATATTTTTCAAAGGCAGTTCCATATAGTAGTATAGGTATATTAGTATAAGCCTCAGCTTTTGTTGGCCGTTGTAAATTTGAAAATGTATCTCCCATCCTACTGATATAAGAACTATCATATTTTTCTTTATTTCCTATATTTTCTTTGCAAGGATACACAGTGAGAGACAAATTGAAGTAATACATGACCTTTATATTTTCAGATAATGAATATGTAATGCACCTGTGGTGCAATTTGCATTTTTAATTAAGCCTGCAAACTGATGCCCTTTCACCTGAATGCTACTGAATTGCTTCCATGTAGACATATGAATATCCATACCATTGTCTCTCCAGTTTTTATGCTGCATTTGTTAACATACTTACTAGAGAGTAGGTCTACCTAATTCAGAGGGACGTAAACCTGCTTAGAATTGTACTAACAGGTCAGAATTAGTTTAAAAATAGATCAATGGTATCTGATAAAATGGGCTAGATTACACAAATAAAACTCATTTGGCTCTAAGGTATTCATTATTTTTGCTGCAACAGACTAACATACAGGAATTCTGGAAATGTTTTTAAGGGGGGGTCAATACTGAGAGGAAGACTGATATTATTATTATTATTATTATTATTATTATTATTATTTTAATTAATAATTGCAGTATTAATAAATTACTTACAGGGAGAGGGAAGATTATTTCTCCATCCATTATCACTGAAAATATTGAAATATGAATACCCTTACAAGTATAATGTCTACAAAGAAGTGTCCTCCATGTGATGCTTACTTCCAAGTGTTCATAGATCAGACTACCTTTATTACTCCTGGGAGGACTCAAAGTCAATTAATGTCTTAATGTCTTAATGTTGTTGTTGTTGTGTGTCTTCAAGTTGTTCAGAGGGAATTTGCCATTGCCTCCTTCTGAGTCTGAGCGAACATGACTTGTCCAAGGTCACCCAGTGGGTTTCATGGCCAAGCAGGGAATCGAACCCTGGTCTCCAGAGTCGTAGTCCAACACTCACACCACTATTAGTGCTTGATTATTTAGTACAGTGCAATTCAAAGTGGTGTTCCCTGGATAAGTGCTGGTCCCTAAACCATTGGCTACTGATCCCTGGCAAGTTTCCAGGTAAGAAAGAAGCAATTGTACCTAACAGGCACAAATTTACTGTCAGTCCCTGAAACACTAGAAAAACTAATGGCCAGTTTCTTCTCTTTCCCCAACCAATTGGGGAAATGCTCCTCAATACGTATTGGGTTTTCATACCTATGGCAAAAGGGAAATGATTCCCGTCGCGCAATTGCAATTCCTGAAGAAACTGAAATTCAAAAGATCTCGGTTCTTTCCGCATTCTGTCGGGGTTCTGTTGGGGTTCTGTGCGACGTCGTGTGGACACATGGAAAAATAATACGTATTAGGTCAGGATTTTGTTTGGATTCTGTCTGGATTGGGCCCCGTGTGATAAGGTCCTTAGAAAAACTCAGGGGTTATTCAGACAGTGAAAATAATCTGGATTGAATCTTTGTTGTTCAGATGTATTTCAAATGCATCCAAGTAAGGTTTTTTTTTGTCAAGAAGCCCACTTAACCCAGTATAAGCATCATCAGATTTCCCCCCCCCCCAGTTTTTAAAAAAGGTTTGCATTATTGTCAGTGTAAATAACCAATGGAAATAGATCTGGGATAAACTGGGATAAAACTCTGCATGCCTTGAACATGTTTCGAATACATTTACATCAACTCCATCTTTATTCAAGTGCTGGCATGTGTGAATACTTAAACTTTCAGAGATGCACATAGATGCGGTTCCATAGTGTAAACAACAAAGCTGGAATGCCTAAGTGAGATTATTTGCATAGTTGCTCTTTAAAAAAAAGATATTGGAATGACTCCTAAGGAAAAAAGCCCTCTGAGATCAATTATCCCAGGTAAAAACTTAATCGAATGCATTTGAAATGCATATGAACAAGAAAGATTCAACCCCCATTCCACAGGGGTTATTTTCACCATGTAAATAACCCCTAAGAACCATGAGTTTATATCTGTAGGATTTTTTTTAGCAGTTATTTGATCATGCCTCCTTTGCTGGTTAGGATGTCTGGTCACCCAGATTTTGGGAATGAGGCCTCAGAGAGCTGTGGTGCATCAATAAACTACAATTCCAAGAAGTCCCCAATACTGAGCCAGGGCAGTTTAAGTGGTCTCAAACTGGATTTCCAAATGGATTTTAAATTTCCTGGACTTTGCAAATCTCCCTATAGCCACAGGGCCAGAAGGAGGAGGATCTTGTCTACAAAAGATATCCTCCCTACCATATAACATGTAGGCAATGTGAAATCGAAAGACTTCACGGCCAGCATCCATAGGTTTTTGTGGGTTTTTTCAGGCTGTGAGGCTGTGTTCTAGAAAATGTGTTCCTGACGCTTCGCCTGCAACTGTGGGTGGCATCTTCAGAGGATCTTCAGAGAATTTCAGATACCTATAAACACGTAGGCCTCTGACTGACATCTCCAATTGTTTTTTTCCTGTTTGGTTTGTAACATCTCGCCCGATGAAGAAGCCTATGGAGCTTCGAAAGCTTGCAACAAGTATACTGTGCATTTCGGTTGGTCGATAAAGGTATCCCTGATGGATTTTTTTTTTTGTTTAAATTGGCTAAATGGCCAACACAGTTACCCCTGAATGTTTTCTGGGTTATTTCTGCAGCGTGTTTTGGACCCCAGTGCAAGTTCTCAGGAGTTCATCCTCTCTGTTGGATTGGGGGCTGTTTGCTCTTTTTCCAGAAGCAGCTCAGAAAGGGGGGGGGGTGCAGACTGTCAGAAATAGTGCAAATTGAGTCCACTTTTAGGGTTAGGGTTAGTGCTAGGGAATCATGGGAATTGTTTTTTTTTCTGAGACATTGAGCCTTCTCTGTCAGAGAGCTCTGGTGCCACAATAAAATACAGTTCCCATGACTCCCTAACCCTAACCCTAACCCTAACCCTAACCCTAAAAGTGGACTCAATTTGCAGTCTGCAACTCCTCAAAGTTTACCACAACAATCCTGAGACTCCTCAGATGTGTCTTTCGTATGTGTGGTAT